TAAATCCATCAGATTAATAACCCAGCAGATAATTAACCCAGCAGATAATTAACCCAGCAGATAATTAACCCAGCAGATAATTAATCCATCAAATAATTAACCCAGCAGTAATTAATCCATCAGATAATTAATCCATCAGATAATTAATCCATCAGATAATTAATCCATCAGATAATTAACCCAGCAGTAATTAATCCATCAGATAATTAACCCATCAGATAATTGACCCAGCAGATAATTAACCCAGCAGATAATTAATCCATCAGATAATTAATCCATCAGATAATTAATCCATCAGATAATTAACCCAGCAGATAATTAATCCATCAGATAATTAATCCATCAGATAATTAATCCATCAGATAATTAACCCATCAGATAATTAATCCAGCAAATAATTAATCCAGCAGATAATCCAGAGGTGGTCTGTTCGCTGAGTTTTACTTTCAGCTACGTTCAGACCGAGCTCTGCTGCTTCTGTTTACTGACTGAACCACTCAGTTTAGTCAGTGCAGCCTCTCGAGGCTAAGTGGATCTCTTATTAATTAATGTGTTGTACAGAAAGAACTGCAGAAGCTACAGCGTTGGACATATTAAAGTGTTCAAATGATCTGTGGGAGGATATGAAATCATTTAAACACAAAGAAGATAGTCTTTATGAAGAAGAAAATTACCACGAGTTTAAAGAAGCTTACAATGTCCTGTTAGAAAGATATAAGAAAATCCGTAGGAAAACAGAAATGAAAAAGGGTAAATTAATGAAATGTGTGTGTGAGATAGCAGCTAATGATGACGCCCTGTTATCACAAAAATCTAAATTTATAAAATTACGGAAGGATGAAAGGAAGCTAATCAAAGAGTTGAGTGCATTAGACAAGGAGTTAGATATAGTAAATATAGAAAAGAAAAAGGCAGACGTCAAAGTGACAGACATAAAAAAAATAACAGAAATGAAAAGGGGTAAATTAATTGAATTGGAGTATGAGTTAGAAGATAATGTTGACGCCCTGTTATCACAAAAATCTAAATTAGAAAAATTACAGCTGGATGAAAGGAAGCTAATCAAAAAGTTGAATGCATTAGACAAGAAGTTAGATATAGTAAATATAGAAAAGAAAAAGGCAGACGTCAAAGTGACAGACATAAAAAAAATAACAGAAATGAAAAGGGGTAAATTAATTGAATTGGAGTATGAGTTAGAAGATAATGTTGA